GGGTGGTCCATTCTCGGCACGGCTCCGCTAGGAGCAAGAGACGGCCCCCCCCATTCACCACGGTGCCCAGACTGGCGCATTTCCAACACCACACTTGCCCGTTACGCATGGCCACGCAATGGGAGGGGTGGACATGCTTAGTGGCCGTCCTCAACTCCGTGGTCACAGGGCGGGGCACGAGCACAACATTATCATTATCGCTCAGGTGCCGCAGGGTGGGGTCCCCCTTACAGCGGTTATCTTCGAGCCCGAGCCAGTCCACAAGCGACGACCCTGGGGGCGGACCCTGACGGCACCGACGACGCAGCCACGCCCCATTGGGCAACCGCCCCAAGTGGTGGCCCGACACTCGCTCGAGCTCGACAACCCGCCTGGAAGCAGCCCCCCCCCCCCCTCGGGAGTCCGCGCACAATGCTCGCGGTCCTGCGCCGCGAGCTCCCTGGTCACCGCCGCCAAGCGCTGCTGGGCGAGGGTGGCGCAGGCGTCCGCGACGCCTAAGGCCTTGATTTCTCCCCTGATGGGAGCGCTCGCCTCCTCAGCCCCTCTCTGGGCGTAGGCGTCGGCCAATTCATTCCCACGGGAGACAGAGGGGGGCTGGGAGGACAGGAGGTGGGAATGGGAATCAAGGTGGGAAAAACACTTTCGGAGGATGACAACCCCAGGGCGAGAAAGGGTAGCAGCTCTGATCCTCTGCCACCACCCCCTGAGCACCCCACTGGGGTTGTCAAGCTTACCCCCATGCCACCCATCAAAGACAGCCTGGTTATCAGTATATATAACTATATCCCCAGTTGTGAGCTCCAAACACCACCACAAGGCGGCGAGCTCTGCTGCTGGGACGGTCTGGCGGCCGTCGACTCCCCCGTACCACCCTGGGAGGGGAGGGGAAGGGTCCGAAGCTCCAGGGGCGGGAGGGCCATGCAGTCCCAACTGGAGATAGACGCCCCACCCGACTCGCGCCACACGCGGGTCCGACGACGTGCCAGAACCATCCAAAAAACCAAACCTCGCCTCCAGCCTTCGGGCTGGCGTCACTTCTCCATTGGGACCGATGGCGGGTGGCGGGGTGTCAACGGCTCTAACACGCCAGGCACTCACATCCCCCCACTCTGGTGGGGGTGGAACAGGATTCCATAAAAGGGGAACGATCCCTCGGAGCCAGAGCGATTCGTTAACCCCTCGGTCGAGGTCGCGGATCGCTCGCTCGCACAAGTGTCCCGTTCTGGCAATCCAAGGATGCTCCAACTGGGCCAGACTGGGGCACTCGTAGGTCCTATGACGCGTGGAATCTGGGGTCCCTAGATCACACCTAGTGCACATGCCGTCTGTCTGATAGCCAGCTCGCTTCTGACGATCTCCATTCCAAATTGTGGCACACGCTATCCCCTCCAGGGCGCCAGCTTCTTGATACATATCTTTCTTGTGCATGCGCTTGACATTAGTTTGCAACATGGTGAGGTCCCCCCCGCCCTTGAGGCAGGCTCCTTCACTGTGCAAGGAGGCTTGCTTCCACAACTGCTTCTGAACTGACTGGGCCAAAGCATCACTAATTTCGGTCACATCATCGGACAGGTCGGGGTTGAAGCGCCACTGCGAACCGTCGGGGTCCTCCCAAACGTCAGGCTCAACCCCGACCCATCCCAGGGACCGAAGGGTGAGCAACAAGGCCCCCATAGGCCCCGTTACAGCTCGCCATCGGGATCGGGGCTTCAACCTAGCAAGCTTAAACTTAGTGGCCGTCCACCCCCTCCGAACCTGCTGCCTGAGGGTGGGGTTGTTGGCCCAGAAAATGAGCCACTCTTTGGCCTGGCGCTTCACGCACGCAGCCCAAGGGTCCCCCTCCCCATACATCAGCAGCATGACCATCGCGGTGCAGCGGCCCTTCTTTCCAAAACCAGCTAAATCCGCGGCCAGGGCTCTCCGCTTTCGGATTTCGGACGGGGGGAGGCCAAAGAGAGGGCTATCGTAGGACATCTTAGCCCGCACGTTAGCATTAAATAGGAGCTTGCTCTTCTTACGTCGGGCCCGTCCCAAACTAGCGAATAAACCGGCCCTGGTGGCCCGAATTTTGCCGAGTCTACTCCTTCTTGTCGCCGTTTTCCTGGATCTGCGTATCCCCATGGTGTTGTCGGTCCCCAGGTCCTTCATCTCCTTGCCTTTCTTGATGGAAATATTAAACTCGGCCAGGGACCTCTCCACCTCCAGGGCGTCCTGGGGGTTCTGGGCAAGGATGGTAGACTTGTCGGAGATCCTGAGCCTCGCCTTGAGGCAGCCTCCAACCAGGACACTCGCTGCTTTCGACACCGCTGCACCTACCACGTCGTCAGGGCCCTCGACCCTCACGGTGATGTCGTCCACGAACTGTCTCAACCTCGCTATCGGGACGGCTAGGTGTACTTCTTCTAGCACATGATAGAGTAGTGCTCGGGCTCCGTGGTTAGCTTTCCCGCATCCTGGTACCATCCCATTGTCAGGAACGATCAGGTCACTGTAGATCTTATTAGCCTTGACTAGCCTAGGGCAGAGGTACGACATGATGCACATGTACAGCTCTACTGGGGGATACTCGACTTGCGCAGCACGTACAGCTAATATACCTAAGTCTACCAAATCGTAGAACTTCTCTAAGTCCTGGAAGAAAGTAGCTTGGCTGGCTTCGTCTAGATTGGCCCGTGTTTCGTCCAGAACAAGTGTTAGCAGTGCCGACTGCAACGCCGAACTCTTCCTGACGGCCGCATCCCAGAACCCCGCTTTTCGATCACACCACTCGGTTAATCGTTGTTTGGTCATCTTACCCCAGACTCTCATCGTCATCGGCATCAGCCCTATAGGCCGCTCTTCCCCCGCTATTTGTTTGTCCCCCTTTGGTGGTAGGGCATACCATATCTGCATTATCTGATGTGGCCAAGTCAACTGCCTCTCACACATATTCAAGATGATGAGGAAGGATTCCTTGCACGACGGGCTGAGCGCTCGCAACTGGTCTGGCGCCCATTGATCAGCACCAAGCCCTGTCCCCGCGTGGAAGCTGCTCAGCGCCATGTCAAGGCACTCACGCGTGAGGAAGGGCCTTTCAGCGAGCGCCTCCTGTGCCTTGCTCCTCAGGTCGTGCATGGCTTGCGGGAGCTCCTTTGTGGCGAAGTCCTTGTGAGCCGTCCATCGCCTTTCCCACTGCCGTCGTCGAAGTTGAATTCCTTTCTGCGGGTCCATCTCCCACTTCCTGGTGTCTGGGTCCAAGCATCCATCACTCGTGTCGATTCGCTCCTCTGAACTCAAATACCGATGTGCTCCTTTCATCGCATTGTCTGTTGCCTTCTTGGCCCATGATCGTACTTGTGCTCGAGTGTCACGCCAGGCCAAGGCAGCATGACGGGCTGCGCGTCGGAAAACTTCAGCTATCAGTTCTGCTTCTTCCGATGCTCCGTTCTGATCTGCTCCTGTTCTGTCAAGGGGCTCACCTAGCTCAGACCTCAACGTCACGGAGGGCCCACCTGGCTCGATCAGGGTGGTGGGGGAGTCGAGGGGCTCACCTAGCTCAATCCTCATATGCTCCTGCCCACTGTGGCCTAACCCCTCGCCACGCAGGGGGAAATTACCGCTGTCTGTGCTGCCATTGCTATCACGAATCCAGCAAGCTTCCTGTCCGCCCGCGCCGCTCGCTGGAGCTCCCTCCTCCTGTGGCTGGAGTGCCCAGGGCGCGGGTCGTCCAGGTGGCGACGGCGATCCAGGGCTCCCTTGCGGGGCCCTGGAGCGTTCTGACATCCACGTACAACCAGTAGACAGTGTCACCGAAGTAGAACTGCTAGCACTTCCCGTCGCTCTTGGCCCCAACCCCGTAGAGCGGGCCAGTTGGGGCAGCGTACTCCCAGTAGACGGCGTCGGAGGTGTCGATCTGCTTGCTTCCCTCGTCGCTCGTGGTCCCAACCCCGTAGAGCGGGCCAGTTGGGACAATGAACCCCCAGTCGGTGGAGCCATCGGTGTTGAGCTTCCCGCCATCAGGGTCCCTCGTGTCCCCAACCCCGTAGAGCGGGCCAGTTGGGGCTGCTCAGTAGACGGCGACATCGAAGTAGAACTGCTCGCACTCCCCGATGCTCTTGGCCCCAACCCCGTAGAGCGGGCCAGTTGGGGCGGCGTAGGAGGAGGAGGAGGAGGAGGAGGAGGAAGGAGGAGGGGAAGGGGGAGGAGGAGGAGGCGGAGGAGGCGGAGGATGGGAAGGGGGAGGAGGAGGCGGAGGCGGAGGTGGAGGAGGAGAGGAGAGGAGGAGGGAGGAGGAGGAGGAGGAGGAGGAGGAGGAGGAGGAGGGGGAGGAAGAGAAGGAGGGAGGAGGAGGAGGAGGAGGAGGAGGAAGAGGAGGAGGAAGAAAAGGAGAGGGGAGGAGGAGAGGAGGAGGAGGAGGAGGAGGAGGAGGAGGAGGAGGAGGAGGAGGGAGGAGGAGGAGGAGGAGGAGGAGGAGGAGGAGGAGGAGGAGGGGAGGGGGGGGGAGGGGAGGGGGGAGGAGGGGAGGAGGGGGAGGAGGAGGAGGAGGAGGAGGTGGAGGAGGAGGTGGAGGAGGAGGAAGGGGGTTTGATCTCGACGCTATCACCTCTGACCACGCCGACGAACACGAACTCCAGGAAAACCAGGCCGAACGGCACGACGAGCGGGTACGGCACCACGACAGCGAGGGAACTGCCGTGACCATGGTCTGCAGTGACTGCTACAAGCCGAAGCCGTCCCGGTCGAACTCGTCGAGCGGGTCTGTGCTGGAGTCGTCGGACCACGCCACCGCGAACCGAGAGAACAACGCTCCAGCATCCGCCACTCCTGTCCTTGGCGGGCTCCCACTTGCATAATCATTGCAGCCGAACAAGCGGCCTTCACCAGGATCGACGGAGAGTCCCCGCGGGATCCACGACGGGGCGGCGAGAGAGGGCAAGGGGTCCTCCCTCTGCGGCACCCAGCTGCTCGCCTGCACGTGCACTTCCCCTCCATGAGAGCCTTCAGCCGCAGGGGGGAGGGTCCCCGCGGCTGGTAGCTGGGCAGCCTCCTCCTTATCGAAGTCCGCCTGGGCCTCCGTCTCATCCTCGGGCTCCTCGTCCACGCGGAGGCGGCGGCGGACGAAAGGCTGCAGCGAGCGACCGAGTGGCACCGCCCACCTATGCAGCTGGAGCAGCACGCCCTGCTGGAACTCCAAGTCGAAGCCGTGCTCCACGATGCCGACGCCGCCGTCGCGATCAGCGGACAGCTGAGGCACAACAGCCCTGAGCTCGGCAAGACACGGCACCGCAAGGGCAGCCACTCCCCGCAGGGGCCCTGGCAGGACACCCGTTGCCAGCTCCTCGTCGCCCTGCGCCTCGCCCAGCCCTGCGAGCCGCCAGCCCGCGGCGAGGCTACGCACGAAGGCCTGGGCCGCGCTCTCGGCGGTGGGGCCACAGCCATGCCACACGCCAGGTGCTAGCCACTCGGCCGTCGGCTGGGCTTGCTGCTTCTCGGCACCCGCGTCGAAGACACCGCAAGAGCCGTCCACGATGTCGCCAGCGCAATGCCCCAGGAGCGGCAGGCCCGCAGGAGACCATTCGCAGACCACGGGAGGCGGCGGTGCAGGTGGCTCGGCTCCTCCTCCAGCCCCACCCTCAGAGCCATCCGTACGGGGGGGGGGGACCCCAGCACAGGAAACTGCGCAGCCTCCGCGTCCGAGAGCTCGTGGATCTCGGAGTCGTCCTGCGCGACGTGGACGGAAGGCCCCACGGGCAGCGCCTCCCAAGTGCCAAGCATGAACTCCGCCGCATCCGCAGAGAGGCTGGTGGGGGCGCGGCCGACTCCCGCGCGCCGTGCCTCGAGGCGAGGGCCACGCTGTGCTCGGCGAAGCTCGCGAGCGCCTGCGATCGCCACGTCGATCTCGAGGGCCTCGGCGTGGAGCGCAACATTGCGCCGCAGCTTCTCCAGCCAGGTGGGCTCCACCCCGTGGAGCGTGGCCACGAAGGCAGGCAGAAGTGCGCTGAGACGCTGTGCCACCTCCGCATCCCCCACGATGTAGTCCAGGGCCGCTTCCGCCGCTGCCAGCTGCCCGCGGACGGCCTGCAGCTCCTCCACGCGCTTGGCCACGGCACGGTCAGCGGACCAACGCGCCCATGCCCGAGAAGCCCGGCGGGCCTCGGCAGAGCGCACTGGGCGGAGAAAGGCTCCGCCCTCCCGCGCCATTCCCAAGTCCGGAACACCCCCGGCAGCAGCAGACCGGTCGCACATGACGAGCCAGCTTGAGCCCGGGGGGCGCGTCCGACGGCTTGAGCCAACATGGCTACGGAGGAGGAGGAGGAGGAGGAGGAGGAGGAGGGGAAGCAGGAGGGCTGGAGCAAAGTGGGCAGGAGAAGGAGCGCAGCGAGAGCGGCGTCGCCCGCCGACCCGTCCTGCACCCACAGCCACAGGGGCAGCCTGCGCCCTGTGCTGGCCTTTTCCAGCGGAGGGTGAGGAGGGCGCGCTGCCAACGGGATGGTCCCTCCTCCATCTCCTCCTCTTCCTGCTCCTCCTCCTCCTCCTTGAAATCCTACTCCTCCTCCTCCTCCTCCTCCTCGAGATCCCCCTCCTCCTCCTCGTCCTCCTCCTCCTCCTCCACCTCCTCCTCCTCTTCCTCCTCCTCCTCCTCGCCATTTCGCGCCCGAGCGGCCCCCCCCTGCACGGAGAGCGCAAGAGGGGTTCGCGGGCAATCTCCGGAATGAGCCTGCTCGCGAGAGCTGGCATCAAGAAGCGTGGCGCCCCACGTCACCAGCTACAATGCTGAGATCCGGCGCGTGCGCAACCGCCAGGAGGCATGGCACCCTCCGTCCTCTCCTCGATTCTCCCCTCCCGCCCCTCCTTCACGTCGAGCAGTGGTGCCAATTGCAGCGCCGCTGCCAAAGGGACCAACCAAGATCAGCAATGCATCAACTACAATGCTGAGAATAGTCCGTGCGCGGTAGCAGGCATGCAGGAGCCCTGCAAGGCTGGGCGAGGTTTCAGCGAGAAGGTAGGCAGTGGCAGCAGGGACTGCCAATGCGATATTGCGAGAAAGCGGGCAGTGGTAGCAGCACTTGCCGTGGCTCGATAGCCACGAAGGAGCCACATCGTCAGCTACATGGCAGCGGGGGTCAGCCCGAGCGAGAAGGCGGGCAGTGCCGCAACGGGCAGTGGCAACAGCGGGCAGTGGCAGCAGCGACTATCGATGCTAAGTGGCCACGCGCGAGCAGCATCTTCAGCGACCTTGCAGCGGGGTCAGCTCATGCGAGAAGGCAGGCATCAGCAGCAGGGCCTGCCAGTGCGAGAGGGCAGGCAGTGGCGGCAGCGGCTGTCGTTGCCAAGTGGCCACGTAGGAGCAACATGTTCAGTGGCATTGCAGCGAGGGTCAGCTCGTGCGAGACGGCAGTGGCAGCAAGGTCTGTCGGTGCGAGAAGGCAGGCAGTGGCAGCAGTGGCCCACCAGTGGCTGTCCGTGCCGAATCTCGAGGCAGGGACAGTTCATCGGTTACGACGCTGCTGGGGTCAGCTCGGGACTGGCATTATGTTGCTCCCATCCGACTTACGGACCACATCCGAGAAATAATTTCGAGCACCAAAAAAATGTCAAAAGAGTGCCGAAACAGTGTCGGGCGAGTGTCTCCCAGGGCCCGGCACGTGAAAGCCCGTAAATTTCGGCACTTTCTTGGGCGATCGAAGTTCTTCCTGGCGATCAAGGCCAGAAGTAGGTTGGAGCATCATAAGCCTGGCAGCGCGAAAGGGCAGGCAGCTGCAGCAGTGCCTGTCGGTGTGAGGAAGGCAGGGGGTGGCAGCAGCGGATGTCCGTGCCCGCTGGCACAGCGAGAACACCTTAATCGGCCACAAGGCTGGTACAGTGCGGGCGCGGCCGCAAGAAACCCTGGCAAGAAACCCAACCCTGAGAACCCGTGCGCGAGGTGCACCTGAAGGGAAACCTGGAGCACCCTGAACGCAGCAGCTCCTTCAACGGCCGCAGGAAGTCACCGCGCAGCGCGAGGAGCGAAGAAACCCAGGATACCCTGACGAAAAGCATATGGCTTCTTGATGCGCGCCCCCACTGTAGGGCCGACTCGTGAGAGAAGGCATGCAACCCCGACCAGCCATAACTGGGGGAGCTGTGGTCCTTACCCCCCTGGGGGACCCCTATCGCATCGACGACCTCTCGAGAGGGGTGCCGAAATCGATGGGTCCCCCCAGGGGGGGTTAAGGAACACAGCTCCCCCAATTGTGGCTGGCCTGCAGCCAGAAGCTACAACGCCGGGATCCAGCCGCGCGCATACTGACAGTGGGTGGAGGGCTTGCACGGCAGGCTCCGGGAGGGTGAGAAGGCGGCACCTGCAGGAGCGAGCGCCATGAATGCCAATGCTGGGAGCACCTCGTGCGTGCAGATGGGCAGAGGCAGCGGGAGCTGGCAATGCGAGCAGCGCAAGCAGTGGCAGCGGGGCTGGCACCGCCAGCAGAAGCCAGGGCGCCTGTCTTCGCGCTCCGCGCCGCGCGAAAAGCACGAATACCTTCGCGCTCTTGCACCGCACCCTAGGGGGAGAAGAGGAGGATGAGGAATCGGTACCGAACCGCGAGGCACGAATACCTTCGCGCTCTCGCACCGCACCCCACGGGGAGAAGACGAAGACGAGGAGGAATTGGTACCGAACCGCGAGGCGCGAAGAACCTCGCGCCCTCGCACCGCACCCCAGGGGAGACGAGGAGGGCGAGGAGGGATCGGCACCGAGCCGCGAGGCGCGAAGAACCTCGCGCCCTCGAGGGCGCCCTCGGGGCTGGCACTGCGGGCAGAGTGAAGTGCACGTGCAGACGTCATCAGCTACAGGATTCGGCCTGACCTGCGGATCGAAGCCCCTCTTGTTCCAAGCAAGTCTACGAACTCCGAAGGAACGGGCCCGCGCGTCCAGAATCCGACGGAACACCAGGGAAGGCTCGCCGCCAAGAAGGCAGCGGGACGCACGCAGAACGAAGGAACGGCCGAGCCCCGTTTGAGCAGTAAGTGTTCCTTACTCAAGCCGGATCCTGTATGATGCTGGGGCCTACTCGTGCAGTCATGGCAAGGCTTCCCACGGAAGGCACTAGGCGGCGGCGTGCGCCCGTGCGCACAACAGGCCGCCGCAGAGGACTGCGCAGCTGAGGGACGTGGCTCGACAGGTGGGCCAACCACCTGGGGGTGCCCATCCCCCCCCTACGTACGACGAAGCCAGGACGAGGCCAAATTCGGGGGAGGACGATCGAGACATCTCTGAGATCTGGCGGCTCTTGAGGATGTCTTGGGCGCCACGCCCTTCTCGCAGCGTTCCCGCCCTGAGGGCGTTCTGGAAAGCTCTGGAACGGAGTAATCCTCGTCCTGGCCCCCTCCGACATGGGGCCCGCGTAGTGAGACGGGGTCGGAGTATCGCGCCGCATCGCCGATGCATCGCCGAAGCATTGCATCGGCGACGCCGGCGTGGAGAAGATCGGGCCCCACATCGAGCCGCATCGTCGATGCATCGACGATGCGGCGCGACCCTCCCACCGCATCTGCCCCGACCCCATGTGGCAAGCCTGGAACCACCCTCCTCCCTCCCTTGCCTCTCCTGCCTCCCGCCCCTCCCTCCACACCACCCAGACCCACGATTCTTGTCAGAACGTCGACCCCCAGGGGCGGGGAGAGGACAGAGGAGGAGGAGGAGGAGGAGGAGGAGGAGGAGGAGGAGGAGGAGGAGGGAGGAGGAGGAGGAGGAGGCCTCGACCATGTCCAGGGACCAGTGCTGCATCCCGAGTCGCTCCTCGCCACCACGGCTGCGCCCTCGCCGCCACGAGGGAGCAACGGCATGCATGGACTGCGCGCAACCAGCCAGGATTCTGAAGGTCGGGCCTGGTCGCCCAGGGCAGGCCTGGGGGCTCAGGGGTGGCCCTGCCCTCCTCCTGGCTCGCCGACGCACGCAGTGAATAGTGCTGCGAGTCTAGGGAGGAGGTTTTAGGCACTGGTAGAATGGTTAGCATCATCCCCCTTCACCCCTCCGTACATTCCCACTCCGAAGCAGACTCCTCCGAAGCAGACTTACGGTGTATTCTTGGATTTAGTCGGCGTTCTTCCGCTAAGCCACTCATACTCCGAAGATCTAGTCTCCTCAATCGTTCTCCTCCTCCTCTCTATCCTCCTACTCCCAGTCCTCCTCATCCTCCTCATCGTCCTCCCCCTCCTCCCTCCTCGTACTCCTCCACTCCACCACTCCTTCCTCCTGATCCTCCTCTCCCTTCTTCATAGTCGTACTAGCATTAGTAATTATCGTCCTCCTCCCCCCCCCCCCCCCCCCCCCCCCCCCCCGCCCCCCCCCTCCTCCTCCTCTCCCTCACTCCTCCTCCCTCCCCCTCCTCATCATCCTCCTCCTCCTCCTCCTCCTCCTCCTCGTCTCTTCCTCCTCCTCCTCGTCCTCCTCCTCCTTCTCCTACTCCAGGAGACAGGTCGACCGCAGGAGGATGAATAGGGAGGAAGTGCGAGAAGGAAAGAAAAAACGAGGGGGCGGGCGGCAGGAGAGACGATCGGGTGGCAAGGGCGAACCGGGAAGGGGGAAGGGGAGGAAGGGTGCGAGGGGGGCTATCGAGGTAAAGCCTGCATTGGGAAGGGCAAGGGGAAGGGAGTCTGGGCGGGAAGTGAAGATAAAAGAGAGAAAGACAACGAATACGTGGAGATAAAAAGGAGACGGCGAACCAGAACGGAGATTTACAGGGGACTGTGCGGGGAAAGGTGGAGGGGTAGGGCGAAGAGGCTAGGAGCGGTGAGGGAGAGGAAGAGGAGGGGCAGGAAGCCCTTTCTGATCAGGCCCGGACAGCTCCAATACTGCATGTTCACATGACGCTGGGTGCCGACCACCAGCCTTCAGGTCGTGAGTGGCTTATTGAGTTAGTCATTCCAACTCCTTCCCCTGCCTCCTACCCCTGGGTCTGTAGAGAAGGCTGCGCGGCGTGTTGGAGCGTCCAGAATGGCCTCAGATAGTCCAAGATGGTTTCTATGGTTGAACAGTATAGCCAATACGGCTCAATTATGTGCCTCCGAGAGGCCCGAACACCGCTCAACGACGGTCTCAAGAGGCCACGGAGCCTCCCAAGGACGTCCTACGAAAGGTCAAATGCGTCCGACACTTGAAGGATATCAATGTGCTGTGCCTCCTCGCCTTTTCGCCTCCGATGGGGTCCTGAAGCCTCACG